AATCAAAATGTTCTCAAATGTGGAAACAAATGAATTCGAATAAAATTTCAGCCGCTACTCGCTCTTTGCGGAAGAGAGCCAATCGATGCATCCGCCAAGGCGGTATTCACTTCTAGCACTTACTATCATAGATTTTTTTATGTTATTTTGCTTTTCGTTATTGTTTTTATTTTGAAATACATAATACGTATACAATTTATTAATTTCCTTAACTACCTAGAATAACTGATGACTAGATATGTCCCTACAAAATGTATGGTAAAAAGTTTTCTGCGATTTCTGACATTTCGAGTACTCTTACCACAGTTGGTCCAATAGAGACTATTGATCCTTACCAGAGACCGGATCGAATGACATAAAAAAAGTTTTCTATAAATTGCCTTTTATCTCGCTGACTGTACCATTTTTCTTCAAAATCTGCCAATCAATATATCTTCAAAATTCATGGATAGTCTTCTAGAACCGTTTTCCTGTAACTACAACGATTAAGGTAGCCGGCCTTGCTGCCCCGTCTCAAATTTACACCCTATATAACCAGTACACTGATCATGTAACATAGATTTTTAATATTTTTGAATTGTATGCTGTTGGATGTCCTTCAATTAAAAGAAAAGCAACTGAACAAAATACGTTCGTCTGGCGCTCCAACCGAATTTCGGTCGATCGCAAACTGCGCAAACCAAAAAACGCAACTCGTAACTCACAAAATTACACTTGTCTGGTCTCACCCTAAAATAAGAAAACTTCAGATCCACAGCAATTATCATAAAGTTGATAGTAAAGAAAAGAAAAGGCTGTAACAAGACAAGGTATATAAAAACAGGTACAACAGTATAAAACACTCCCTTACTACGGATTAACATAAACAGTCCAGACACTTACCCCAAAAGGGCCGAGGTCGAAGCAAAGGAATTAAAGAACGATTCAAAATTTAAAAACGAGTGACGACGATGCAAAGAAGTAACATCGTCACACCCTCTTCCGATATTCAGGCACGTCTTAGTGCAAGCAAAAGTAACGACCGTACTCTATAAATCATTCCACTAAAAGTCAACTAATGTCTCAGGGTGACGGGCGCAGTGGCAATACCCCTCAGATCTTTGCGATTTAAAGCTCAGAAGACACTGCAACTGTTATGGACAGGCGTGTAGCTTACCATCAGGCGCACGACTTGTTCGTCCCGTCAATTGATATTATAAAAAAAAAGTGCTAACGTGTTTTTTTTATTTGGAAAATATTTCAGGTGAGCGATTTAAAATAATTTTTTTTAGAAAATAAAAAATATAACTCTAATTTTATTTGTTATATGGAAAAGCTGAAACTTTCTCGTTTTCGATTTAATAAATAAAATTAAAGTTATGATTTTTTTTTTTCATAGAAAAGTAATTTAAATACTCCTGTAATATTTACCAAATGCGCGTTATACGTTTTACCTTTCCAGTGTCGATATGTTTTTAACGTCATAATTCCTCTTACAGAAACTACAACAATTACTTGCAGACCGCGCAAGATGGGAATCGGACACAGTCATCAAGGAAGTCGACGACGAGAGCTCACCATAAAACAACTTCCGGAAAAATAACATCTTAGAAAGAACGAAAACATCTATAGATAACAGTAACAAAAAACATCCTTATAAAAATCATAATAATAAAACACCTATGTGAAAAACTATAACAAAAAACATCCATAGAAGAAACAAAAACAATAACGACGTCCATAAAAAAGGCAATGACAAAAATGATGCTACTATAAGTTTATTTTATATTGTAACTTCGTCCGCCAGGCTTTCGTTGTAAATTGTCTATAGAAATAGAAATGGCGCTTAGTAGATCTGTCCAGCGAATTATAAATAGTTATTTAACCGATAAACATGCACATATTCGTTCTGTTGTATAGGTAAATGGTTTAGTTATATTGATTGGCGGCGTTCGGCATTACCTTACATATAGTTACTTTCACCGGATATAACTATTTAGTATACCTGCCACCCACTGATGGGTTTCATACTGGAAGGCATATGCCACAACCAGAAGACATTCAATCTGTCGGAGCCAGGAAAGTCCTTCCAGTTCTTCAATGCTGTCGGCCTTGGCTCTGCACTGTAATTAGTGGTGACTACAATAGATCAGTTAATAATAATCGATCGCAGTCGAGGTTATTTCCTGTAGACGTCCGTTCCGTGAGAGTTTCCTGTAGACGTCCGTCCGTTCCGCACGCCTGAAGTATCTCGACCTGGCGCACGAGATCACCGACATGTGGGATGTAGCATTCACTGAAATAATCCCAAATGTTTTGGCCGCAAATGGGTTAATTCCAGTCAGCCTCAAGCAGCTTGAAGCGGTTGGATTTCTGTGGCGTGTCGCTTCCAGCACAAATACAGAAGGCGATGCTGCTCGATACAGCACGTATTGTTCGCCGGTTCTTGAACCGGAGTCCCTGACCCCGGCCGACTGTGCCATTGTCGGGTAATACCGTCTTTCCCATTTAAAAATTCGCGGCCTACGGCCACGGGAACGTACGGTTTCCACCGCATCTGATTTATACAATAATAATAATGTCATCTGACTGTGTGACTCTAGTATTGTTTGTAGATGAATAATATCGAACAAATAAGTTTTAGAACACAAGTTAACTTAGCTAGAAAGTTGGGACAACCGACGTTTGACGTTAACTAAATTATTTCGAGTCTCTCAAGTATGGTTAAGTGACTTGCACACCGAATTCATGGTGTCGCCCATCTTTGAGTTCCCGGGATCGATTCCCGGCCGGGTCAATGTACAAAACTAACTTTCCTACATTGTCTCGGATCTGGGCGTTTGCGGTACCGTCGTTATTTCACATTTCCATAACACAAATACTTTAGTTACTCACTTTGGGATCAGAGCAACGTATGTGTTGTTGTCTAATATTTATTATTTATATGCTGTTAATTGCACGTAACAAAGAATTTACAAACAACATTACCATATTACACAGTTATTACAACATTACCACTATGGTTTTTGTTACTTTACACGTCCGAACAAAATTGTCCCTAATTATAATTGAGTATATCTTTTTTATAATAAAAAACCGACGTCAAAAGTCCGTGAAATTACATATATTTGCCATGTTTTATTGATATCGGTTACCGGAAAGTGCGCGAAATCGGATTTAGCAGAAAGAGGCTCTATAGGCTAATTAGGCATTTAAAATCAATATTATTGTCAAATTAAATATGGTAAATAAAAAACAAACGACAATATGACTTAATGTCTTTTTCATCACACTTGGTCGTAAACAGTGTCATAACATGCAGGCTAAGTCGACCATAATGTTCTAAATTATGCTCAAGGACTTTTCATTACAATTATCGCCCTATGGATTTATTTTACGTCAAGATTG